ATATATATATATATATATATATAGACAGATAGATAGATATATGTTCTTAATTAGTGACTCTTCGTTTTCCAGCAATGCTAAACTCCATTACATAACATTCAAAAACTAATTTCTTCTGTAAAAAAAAAATATGAGTGAAGAACCAATGAAATTATTCAACATTTCGAAACTCTTAATATGAAGAGCTGGATGTTTGTTATATGTTTTCATACACTGAAGCTATTTACTATATGTTGACAGTTTATATTTCTACCAGTTAGACTAGCTTGAATACTAAGATAACTATTTTTGCGACCACTGTTTAAATAACACAATTATTTCTTGATTGACTGAAAACTATCACGTAGTTAGGATGGGACAACCTTCGTGTATCCGTAGATAGACTTCACTTCATACCGCAGTTCGTTCTGTTTTGTCTGAAAAAGGTATAACAAAAATGATTAGAACATAAATGTATCTAATATCAGATGTAATTTTCACCAAGAAAACTAAAGATTTCAGAGGAAAACCTCATACATATCTCATGCTGTTTACTGCTGATTACGACCATATTTAAACATCATATAGAGGCTGAAGAGCCGTAGACATAGTGATTATTTCTTTGTAGTGCGCTTGTTTGTCCAAGTTAAAAAAATAAGTGACAATGTTATTGGGTCAGTTCTTTTCAGTAGCTTTGATAGTTAACGAGGGCAATATTCGCGGGCGAATGCAACAGGTCTCCGCCACACAATCCCAACATGTTCAATTTTGACATCAGAAAAATTGTGAAAAACACACAAAAAAAAAATCGAAAACTGTCTATATCACTGTTTGGGACCTGCAAGAAGGTATTTTGTACAAAATCCCATGTAAATTAGTTGAGATACACACGAATAGTTCATGAAAACCCCAAATTGTACTTTCCTAGCTGAAAAAAAAAATCGGCAAAAGACAAAATTTTCAAAAATTGTTCATATCTCTGTTTGAGACATGTAAAGAGTATACTTGTACCAAATTTCATGTATTGGTCGAAAGAAAGATAAATAATTGACCAAAACCCCTAAAATTATGGGTTTATGTAACCTTTTGACACTCCTAAACTGATCAAAAATGTGTATATTCCACATTTTTGTATGTATATGTATAGTACCGGTAAAAAAACTGTCTTTGTAACAAATCCTATGTAGATTGGCCGAAATACGGAGGAGTAATTGTCAAAAAACCTAAAATTATGCTTTTTTTTACATCTTGACTTCTCTATAATTACTAAAAATGGGCAAGTCCACAGTTTTTGTTTGTCAATGTGTGGGACCTATAGAAAAGTATCGTTGTAACAAATCCCATGTAAAGCGGTCAAAATATGACCGAGTTATTGAAAAAAACCAACGTGTTTTGATGTCAATATGTTGGGCGAATAAAAACTTATATTTGTGCCAGTTTTAATCTTGATTGCTGTAAATATAACCGCACAAGAGCCGAAAATATAAGTTTTTGGGTTGTTTTACTTTTGACCCCATAAAATCCTTAAAAAGGTCTAAATAAAAGAATAAAATAAAAGGTGTCTGTGTTCATTAGACCAAAGCATAATCCTACCAAGTTTCAAGTCAATCCACCAAGAAATAAAGGAATGGCGGTCGATTAAAAAGTGTTTGGAAGAAGAGGAAAGAAACAATATAAAAACAAACAAAACTCTCTTTAGAGACATAATTACAATATGTGGCTGCCGCTACAGGGTTGACTTGTTAGTTGAGTTTCCTGTAAAGTTACTCGCTGATTGGAAGTCGCCATGCCAGATTTAGAAGTTGGACCAAGTACTCTGATAATTCTGTTAAATATGTTATGGCTTAATTACTGTAGATTAGTTGTTTGACCTGATTATTGAACTGCGTGTGAATTATTACAAAGTCTTATATTTAGGAAAAGTATAATTCTGGAGTATGTATCTCTCAGTTATAAAACATATTCACTTCCTCCCACATCAATACTGCACAACCTTTAGGCATAAGTTCCACTAGCTCTATTTTTCTAAGGTGCTCTGTTTTTCTATTTGCTAAGTAAGTAAAATTCACCTCTCATTCTTTAGTTTAATAACAAAACTTTATAATCTTGCACATAACTAATTCATGAAGAACAATAAGTGTCTTAAGCTATATGACATTATAGCACTTGCCACTCATATCCTAGACTTTAAATATGCAGTACAGAGGTTGAATGAATATTTGCTTAAAATTGGAAGTAATTTCTTGGCTAAAAAAAGGAAATAGAGGTTTAGAACATTGGAATATAGCTTGTTTTTAGATTGTGATTGTAGGTTAGACGTAATTATTATGTATGATTTCGTTTCCAAATAAGTAAGTAAATAATTTCATCACATGTTGTGTCCTTTAACATGAGTTGTCAGTGCAGAGCATACTGGTCAACTCGAGCCTTAGAGAGACCTCATAACCAGTAACCTGCCTTTTACTGTGGAGCCACACTAACAGTTCTTGTAGCCAGATTTCAGCCTAATTCAGCATACTTTTTATTTGATTAGTTGTTCAAATATTTGCTAAATCTACGCTACCTAGTGGTGACATTTATTAATTTCTTTTTTTCAGCTCGTCTTGTGTTCCAAGATGTGAAAATCAAGTTCCCTAGTTTTCAACTTAACAATACTGTACGTCTTTTCAACTACAACACTACAAAGTGAGTGGCTAAAGGATTTCCTGGCCATCCTGAGTAAGGAAAAGACTATTTCAAAGACAGGCTAAAATATTTTTTGTTAAAGTAATAGCAAGATGCATTAATATATTATGTAAAATTTAGGTATATTCTAGTTTTTGTTAGTTCAGCCTCAAATAATATTCTCAACTTGGCCTTTCTATTGCTTATTACACTCAGTGCAGCTTTAGATCTCTTATGCTTAAAGCGGTTCTAGATTTTAGATATATGAAATATTTTAAAATTGGAGATATAAAGATTAAAATGTTAAGAAAAATTCGACCACTTTCATTATATTATACAGGGAAATGAGATACGACCTACATATAAGGCGATAAGCATTAAACATACATTTCACATTCTGCTAAGTTTAGTTACTTCAAGCTCTTACAATCTCATAGGTATATGACGATCGTCATTCAACAAACATCTTAAATTCTGCAAAGTTTGACAAGTTCAAACTTTTACCTCTTTCTACACATGTATACAGCAATGAACATTCAGCATACATCTTTCATTCTGCAAAATTTCATATAAGATGATAGGCAATGAACGTACATTTTACGTTGTGCAAAGTTTGATTAGTTCAAGCTTTTACAACGTCCTACATATATTTTATCAAGCATAATTGCCCTAACGTTGAATAGAAAAGAAAAAACTTTATATCAGTGTTATGTTGTTAGTTTCATCACAGAAATTAGATTTTACAAAGAAGATGAATAACTATTGTGATCACTCTTCAACCTTATCATTTACTTAGTGTATCATGAGTAACTGTTTATACTCACTGTTTAAGTGATCTGAGTGATCTATGAGCTCTTTCATTTCTTTCTGTGCCGGCTCCTCGTCCTCCTCATCAGGCCAATGAAGCTCCACACCCAGGTAATACATCCAACCGCCGATGATGGCCCCAAGATGGGGCCCAATGATGCCCACCCAAAAGTAATTGTAATTCCGATGACTAACAATAAAATAGAAGTGTTGAACAATACTCTAGATAATGCAGAGTTTTATTATTGAGCAACTAGTAACTTAAGATTGGATAATGAAGGAAATGTGTAGCAACGAAATCAAAAACACTTTACTTTATGTTAGATAGTGTACTAAGTTGAAAATTGTTACTCCTAATTCAAAAATTAAAGATTATATGAAGATACGGAGAAAAAGCAGCATAATGCTTAGGGAGAAGAAGTAACGTTGAAATTTGCTGTTTCACTATAGGTTTCAGTTTTGTAAGTTTAGGCTTTCACGAAACCTCAATTATTCCTCATCCTCAGTTGAACTAGCTATCACAAACTTGTCGTCAGTTGTAGCAGTTTCACACGTGGGATATGTTATACAATGCTTGATGAATTCTCAAATTTCCAGTGAAAAGTGTTCTGTTATTCGAACCCGTGGTGGTTCAAGCGCTAAATCTCTAGGCTTATAACATTAAAAATCTGGTTTCGATGCCTGCAGCGGGCAGAGCACAGATAACTAACTTTGTGCTTTACAACAGATAAAAACAACTACTATTTTTTATACGCGTAGATAATAAGTAGATGCAACATATTCCTCCTCGCAAGCACGGCATTCAAATGTTTAGACAACAAAATATTTTTTATGCTTTGAATCACACCGCTATAATAAAGAAAATACTCATGGTAGTCTTAAATATACTTTTAAATTCTATCTGAGGAAATTTATACGTCATTTGTCCGGAAAAGAACTAATATTTGAAATGTGAGTATATATTGAAATACTTTTTTTCTATGAAAGATTCAAAACGTTTATGTTTTTTTCTCAAACTAGTTTTCATTTTGTATTTTCTAGTTATAAAACTCTGAACCAGAAGATTGAGCATGGAAAATTTTTCCATTTTTTTAAGGCCTGAATGACCACCACAGTTGGTTTTGATATATATATATGGTAGTTTGGTGCGATTTCTGAAATTAAGAGTTGTTGCACGAGTGAATCCATCTCAATTTACGATGAACTGTATTTTTATGCTTACTTGTGGATGAAATTCAAGATATTTTGATAAATGTGTTTGGAACAAAACGCGTCAAAAGTTAGAAAAGTATAGTTTACTTTCAGCATTTTATGCGATGAAAAATCTCTAGATTATTTAGTATCTCATACTGGAAAATCACTTCACCCAATACAATAAAATAAAACGTTATAAAGTAATAATATTCCAATGTCCGTAACTAAAGATTACATATGAACTCTCCATAACAAATAAAGAAACGAGTGTAGCAATAAATTATGGCAAAAAGTGGATAATTGACTGTGGTGAGCATCTATCCATCCACCACATAGCCATTAAAGCTGTTGAAGTAGAGTCCTTTACGATAATTTACAATAACGTTAAAAATGCGAACGGCGGCCAGTTAGATGAAACTTGTATTTCAATTCAAATTGTCATATCTATACCTATAAATGACAAATCTTGTAAGTCATTTAGTTGTCTTGCCTCAAAAGCAACATATTTCAATAAATGTTATACAAAGAAATCTTTACGTGCTACTATAACAACGCATGCGTATTCAGCTGTCCAATATTTTCTTATAAAAGTGTGTAGTCGCCATATATTGTTGCCAGTTTATTACTATAACATTGACAATTGCTTTTTTAAAAATCGTTTTATTTTTCCCTTGATATATAAAATAAATTATTTGAGGTCTCGTACTGAACTAGGTTAATAAATTGAATATACATAGAATTAAATTTTCATGTAACAATTACGTGACAAGTTTTACAAGAGAATCACTTAGCAACTAATCACTTACACTATAATGGAATATTCTTACATGTAAAATGTCTTTATGGTATTGTACAAGTAAAAATAATTTGCCCCC